CTTTCATTGATAGTATATCTATAAAATATTATTAAAATCTCATATCTATCTACTATATAAGAAATTTGAGGTGTGTGGGTGGGTAGTATTAATTCTTCATCTTGAGGGTGTGGATCTGCATGGGCGCAGAAAACACCAATCCCTACACCCACACCCACACCCTCAAGAAGAATGTATGGTATAGACAAATATTTTTAACTGTCCCACAATCTGCATAAATTGATATTTGATTGCACTGTTTCTCTGCCATTTAAATCCTCCAATTATTCTTTCAATTGTTTAATATAATCGAATACAATTACAGATTTTATCCAATAAATTTGATGATTTTAAAGCGATTTCATCAAGAATACACCTAAGTGTGGATGTTAGTCATCAATTTTACCTACTCGTTTTCTGAGATTTCAAATATTTGAATTCGAATTTTTCATTATTCAATACCATCCATTTCTTCGCATTAGTATCCAGAAACTTCTATGACACACTTATGTAATAAGTGTCATGTATTTCTTTTTACTTTCGATACTCTCGTGAAAGCTTGGAAATTTCCAAGGATTTTTTTTTCTATTCTATTTTTCATTGTGCTTTCGAGCACATGTCATGGAAGCAAAGCCTTTTCCATAGTATAAATAAATGAATTAATGTGAAGTAAATTTTTATTCATATTTCTATTTTTCTCTAAACAAAACTAGAAATTTCTGCGTCATATACACATTGATTTTTCTGCACTAACTTTCCTTTGAATAGCTGTAATTATCAGGTTAATCGCAGGTTCTTTACTGAGACGTCAAATAATTAGATATCACCCTTGTGACTATTTTAAAACGTCATTCACAATAAATAGTGTTTAATGCTCTGCCCGAAATTATAATATACCGGCAACGTAACGATTCAACTGTTGTGACTTGATGAAAAGTCCTATAGAAAAACTGAGAACATGACGGTAAATTAGACTGATTTTTAAATGCTCATTACGCTTCTATGATTATGAGATAATATTTTTAATAAAGTATGAGTTCAAAGAATAATCAGTAGTTGAATCTGATATCTTCAGTATATAAATAGGTTTCTCAAAGCACATGTTTGTAGTAGAATTGTTTTTTTAAAGCCCGAACTTCGTTTTTCAAAGATTTATGATGAACTGCCTATAACTATAAAACAATGAATGTGAAGAAAAAATTTCCATTATGAATTATTAGTGATGTTAGATTATTGTAAGATGTACCTTTATTATTAAGTTGAATAATTAAAATAGCTCTTTATATCCGAGTCATTACTGGATTTCTCAGAAGAAACAAACTGCATAAGTCTAACTTGGAAAATTCCAACCCACAAAATGAGTCAAGATTATTCATACGAGTATTCCTTGATGAATAATATTGAGTCATGATAGTTCATCAACTAAAAATATTGATATTTGGAAAGCCTAACAAAAAATAAAATGAGTTTATAAATTATCTTTTATCTTTTTGAATTTTATTTTAGAAAACTTATTAATATTTCAAACTGTTTCCCAGGCTATAGTTAATAGCAATAGCAAATAAAGTTTATTTTGTCATGTCATAGTCAGCATAAGATTATTGTTTTCTTTCTTCCTTTCTTTATTTGACGCTTGAGAGAGCGGAGGAGTCGTCTGCTTATGTATTACAGCAGTGAAGGCAGGAAAAAACCAAGTAAAAGTTTTACATGCACCATAGTATACGTTTTACAAAACAAATTTTACTGTTCATTTTTGTTGATGATGCACCGAAGAACAGTATACAATCTGCTAATGCAGTCTCTGTGGGATTAAACTGTAAAACATGATGCTTTAATATCTCAAAACTGTTTTTTTCTCTCTACATTTGGTTTTGTTTTCTTAAAACCATTTACTTTATATTATAGAATTTCGCCTAAGAAATATTTTATCCTTGTTCGGATGCAACGGTATCATTATGTGATTATAGCATATAACTGAAGTTTTTTTCTGTATTCCTTTCAGTAATGGTGTGATTTTTCTTTAGTATGGTATAGAAAGATTTCTACAGTTCCTCTATCACAGTCTATCAAGAAGAAGGAAGTAAGTGAAAATGTTCTAGCCCATATAATTAAATATTCCTTTCCAATCGTGTTTCACAAAATTAAAATGATTACTCGACTTGTATTTGATTTATTTTGCGTCTATTTAAAAATATATTTATACAAATTTGACGAAACCCATATTAATATTTTAAACAATTCAACTAAATGTTGTTTCACATAGATTTTGGATGAATAATTACCATTAGTACAAAAGATATTACACCTTGGTATGGTTCGATTCATTTACTTGTTATAAAAGAGCTGATGCAAGATATTTATGACATAGTGTTATTTGTTTAGATTGCTCATGCACTGTTGGGTTAAATTTTAAAAATATAAACGGTCATAAAGTACAAGTTGTGCTCAAACCATGTATTGATTGGTATTAAAACATTCTATTGGTGTAAATAATTACCTGTGGTCACCTATATTGAAATCGTGCTTTGTACGACGACTTGGTAAGTTTAAAGATCATCAATTTTTACCATGCCAAAATACGAGAACAGCTATGGTATTTATTAGTCATTGGTTACACTGATTCCATTGAAAGTTCAATGCAAAAGTAAGTCCATAATGTTTTAGAAAACATTTACTCTGATTCATTGTAACTCGTACATAAAATGAAGTAATGAATGTGAATGCTGTTCGTATTTTTATTCCCTATTAGTATTGCCGACTTTTTTTTTCTTCTTCCGAGTTTTTCTCTTTCTCTTTATTTGGTAGGAAGAAACCAATATAGAATGATTCATCTTAAAGTGCAAATGGATGTTTTTGAAGGTTGTTGTTTTCAAGAATGAAAATGTTAAGCTGTAGAATTATTTCATGTTTTATGGATAATTTTAAATTCACAAAAGGGTGACAAAAAGAAAAAAGAATCTGCAAAGATTTCAAGTTCTTGTAAAATGTTATTAAAAAATATATAATCATTTTGTTTTCTTCCGAATAAAAACAATCCCTTATACATGTTGCCTGCCTGCGTTTCAGTTTTGTACTTATTATCTTCATTAACTTGGATATAATTACCATGATGTTTCACTAATACTGTTGAACACACGTTTACAAATGGATGTACAAAAAAGTATCGCTTGAGCAAATTCTCGACATTTTTTTTGTTTTCCAATTATAAGAAATTTCTCGTCCATATCTGTTTACGTTTTTCCTAATCATTATACAATAATAAATAAAGATTATTGGCGTATAACTGTACAAATATGATCTATTGAATATTTAAAAATCAGTTAAGCTCAATTGAAAATTGATTCTTGTGAACCATCACTTGCTGATCACAAACGGCTTTACATAAAAATAAAGAATCAATAAAAATTGGAATGTATTAAAACTTCCGATACGTAAAATACTTCTTCGCTCTTAAAAACAGTGATCATATTATGTGTATTTCCTACATTGTTCTGATTGCAACTATTGTTTGTAAATTGTATTGTGAAAAATACTTTAATAAAACTATCACAAATCAAACACCGAAGATAGGAACTCTTCTTTAGAAAGTATATTTGTAGTTCGTTCGAAAGTAACAGAAGGAGAACGATACAATAATCTTATTTGTATTGGAAGTCTGCTTACGTCTTTTTTTCTAAAATATAATTTAAGATACAGGGTGTTTCATAAGTTTTGAGGCTTGACAAAAATTAATACATATGCAAACAAAAAGTGATCTCGGACCAAAGGTATTTATATAAAGTTTGAGTACTCCTGACGGCCTTTCAAATGATGTATGATTAGATGAGATCTCATTTTGTAATAATAAAGATATACGCATGAGAATGTTGAGATAAATTTTTCCAAATCGACCAACAAGATATTCTATTAAAAAAAAGAAAACACTCTTGCTTATTAAAAAAAAAACACTGATTTAATAGATAAAATGAAGTTTAACTATCATGTATCTGTTCCTCGCTAGCTTTTATCACTTCACCAAGTCTGATAGAAATTTTATCAATCATTTTTCTACAATCATCACAAGTTATTTTTTCCATTCTTTGTTCAGTATAATTTTTAAGTGCTCAAAACTCGCAAACTGTTCTCCTCGTGGTTTTTCCTTTAAAACTTCCCACACGTTCTCAATCGGCCAGATATCGGCAAACATTGCTGATAAAAAATAATTCGTTCTGCACTTGGTACGCTGTTTTGTGTTACGCACATCATATGTTCATATACTTTATCCAATTCATCCCAGTCACTGAGCGTATAGCTTGGTTGAACATGTGATCAATTATCCATGATTGGCGGCGAATAAATGATTAAGATAAATAGTTACTGGTCCTGCCCCACTGTTATTTATGTAAGATAAATATAGTACTTTATTTGAAAATCTTTAAAAAAATCGTGTTGGTCGATTTGAAAAAATTTATCTCAACATTCTCATGCGTATATCTTTATTATTACAAAATGAGATCTCATCTAATCATACATCATTTAAAAGGCCGTCAGGAGTACTCAAACTTTATATAAATACCTTTGGTCCGAGATCACTTTTTGTTTGCATATATATTAATTTTTGTCAAGCCTCAAAACTTATGAAACACCCTGTATTTATTGTACAAGCTTTTATCGTTGATTGAAATAGTACAATTTTTGTACATAGCTTTGCAAATATTATTTTGTGAATATATTGGCATAACTGAGAATAAGTTATGCTATTGTTAATGTATATTGAATGCCATCTACAATATTCAATAATAAATATAAATTATTTACCTTTATTTTTTGCATATACAATATAATTTTAGTTCTATTAAAACGATACAAGCAATTTTTAAATGGCCTTTGATGAATATCATCAATTCTGTCGAATAAATATATAAAACTTAAAGTTGATTTTCAAACCATTCTTTGCCGAACTCTTGTAATACTAAATACTTTCGACTACAATAGTTTGAATGTTTCTAGATACTTCCTTAATCCGAAAAGAACTTAAAAGAATGGTTGGTTTCGATGCGAAAGATAAAGATAATCTTGATACAAAATATCTTTGTCCTGTATGTTCATTAATACTGCGAGATCCCGTACAGTTGATCGACTGTGGTCATCGGCAATGTCAAACGTGTACTAACACGGAGCAAGAGTAAGATTTATTTCTATATAGTATGAAATTTTATTTCGAATTATTCTATTTCAAGCATAAGAACTGAATGTGATGCATGCCACTTAGAAACATCACGAAATAACGTGAGAAGGAATTAAGAAATTAAAGAAAAAAACATTTCTTTCGTATAGATATTGATTGATCGAGGTTTCAAAAATGACATGAAATCATTAATGATCGTTTGTTCTTCATGTGATTGGACTGATATTTTAGACAAATATCAGGTAGTGAGTCTTATATTTATATTTGAATATTCTATCATATCTTTTTTTCAAAGGAACATCTTGATCAATGCCACCGAAACTTCAAATGTGAATATTGCGGCAAACAGTTTCTATCTATTCACAAATTCAATAAACATAAAACCTTTGAATGTCGAAAAATGCTTGTTGACTGTAGACTGAAACATGTTGGTTGTCATGAACGAGTATGCATATGCTTTGAATAACATTGATATTGTAAACTTATTGTATATTAGGTTCTTCGAGATCAAATGGAAGCTCATTATCTAACTGAACAGCATCAAAATGCATTAATCAATGCTGCTAGTCAAAGGTCACCAGAATCAAGTCAAAGACAAACAGATATTGTTCCTTGTCGAGGAACAGCAACTGATATTCGTAAGCCTGCCCAATTCGAATTATGAAAGCTTTATAATATGTATAATATGTTAATAGATGGCTTGACGACATTTAATAGAGACAGACACGATAGAACCAATACATCATCGAAAAACCAAAATGCACTTCCCACACTGTCAGAAAGCACATCAAGAGTTCCGCTGTTCACAAAACGTTCGCGCCGTTTTTTAGAAACAGTAGAAAATGCACAAGAATTACTCAATCAAGTTACAAGGTCACCAGGAAGTAAAATCGATGAGGGACAAGATGTTTCATATGATGGAACATTGACTTGGAAAATTAGAAATGTTAAAGAGAAAATAAGTAAGGCTATCATTTGTCATTATACTTGATAATGAAAACAGAATGCTCTCTGAGAATCAAAACTCAGGCACATATTCTTATCTGTTTTTAACAAACTCAATAGAAAAAATTTCGATCACCCAGTGTTGCATATAATATAATATCTAATCACTCAAAATCAGTGGCATCGATTTTCAAAATTTCTGTGGTCGTAGTTTTACACTTATGTATTTCTCTTTGCTATTTAGAAGATGCACAATCCAAAAGGCAAATATCGATTTATTCATCGTCATTTTATTCAACGCCAGGTGGTTATAAAATGAGAGGTTGCCTTTATTTAAACGGCTGCGAAAACGCTGTTGGTACTCACATATCAGTCTTTTTTGTATTGATGCGTGGTGAATGTGATACAATTCTCAAGTTTCCTTTCTGTTATAAAATCACTTTTGTGTTGTGTGATCAAACACCGACACAAAGACATTTTACCCAGTCATTTCTACCAGATGTTCATTCGAGCAGTTTTCAACGACCTCTATCTGATATGAACAATCCTTATGGTTTTCCAAAGTTCATTCCATTGACAACGATTCTGCAACAAGGAAATTCGTATGTTCGAGATGACACATTATTTATTAAGATTATGGTTGATTTTGGTGAAATACAACGAACATCATTGCCTCATGTGTCCAGCTTTAGTTCTAGTATACTGATTCCTGCTCCACAAATAATAATAAATCAAGGAACAAGAAGAACAATATCAGAAGAATCTGAATTAGCAATTCAAAATAAGAAACATAAAAGTTAACTGTAGCGAATTCACTTGTCTAAAACTCGTTATTCCTGCATTTGACACTTTTTCCTTCACACTCTTTTTGAAATAAACTTTTTCTGAAAATTTTTATTCCATATCCATAATGTTTTAGGGAGCCCATAGTTGAAAGTAAATATATGAATGATTCTGAAACTGACCAGCACAACTTCGACATTTATTGAGAGTAAGTGTTTAATTTGTCCATAATATATCGAAAAACAAACAGTAAGTATTGCTCCGAAATGCGAACAACTGGTTAATCATTTTTCTGAAGCATCTTTAATGTATTGGAATGTCGTCGTTGTTTGTTAAGCAGAAATTTAGACATGATTTCTAAAAACTAGTATAACATTTCGTTTAAGTGTTAATAGTAATGATGTCAATTCTTATGGTATCTTCTTTGTTATGCCTCATTCACACTGGACTATTTCTTATGTTCTGTGATTTGCAATAGTTAAATTCATCGTATTAACATATTATACATATTATAAAGCTTTCATAATTCGAATTGGGCAGGCTTACGAATATCAGTTGCTGTTCCTCG